TGCCATGGCTGCTACACAATACTCCAAACCTTCAAACGTTTTCAAATTCACCAATGGCAAAGGCAAATCTGATGTGCTTTGTTCTCATTGTGGCTGTCATGGTCATCTTGCTGACAAATGTTTTCAAGTCATAGGCAATCCACCAGGATGGAGAGGTCCTAAAGGCAAAAGATCTCTTCCTACACAATTTGGAAGTGGTTTCAATCCTCAACCACCAAGTGCTCATGTTGCTTCTTCTCGGGAACAAAATTAAGCAGTCCCAAATATGGTTTTCACTCAAGAGCAATTTCAGAATCTGCTTACACTTGCCAATAGCCTATCCACCTCTACCATCAACCTTAATGCTGCATTAAATATTGCTTCTACTTCAGGTAATCATCTTGCCCATTTTTGCCATGATGCTTCTTTCTCTAACCACTCAACTTGGATCATTGACACTGGAGCAACAGATCACATGATATGTTCTCCTCGCCTTTTTACTTCTATTCATCTACCTACCAAACCTTTCCTAGTTCACTTACCAAATGGTCAGCATGTCCCTATTAAGTTTACTGGAATTGTGATTCTTTCTCCTGATTTAGTCCTATATAATGCTCTATATGTTCCTTCTTTTAATATCAATCTTGTTTCTGCTTCAAGATTAACTAAAGATCACGCTATTGGGTTATTTTTCTTTCAATCTAAATGTATTCTACAGGACCTCAGCAATTGGAAGATGATTGGGCTTGCTGAAGTTCAATATGGTCTATACCATCTGAAAAAATTTCCTGCTGATATAAAGAAAGGATTGCCTGATTCAACCATTTTGCCTTCTACACATTTAGCTAACAATTGCGATATCAATCTAGATCTATGGCATGTTCGCTTAGGACATATGTCCCCTGCTAGATTGCAAGTTATTAGTATCCTTGATCCCTCTGTAAAAATAACTCACAATCATGTATGTGAGATTTGTCCCTTAGCAAAACAAAAGAAATTATAATTTCCTGTATCACACAATTGTTCTAATAAAGCTTTTCAATTGATTCATTATGATATTTGGGGTTCCTTTTCCACTATTTCATACTCTGGTTATAGGTACTTTCTAACAATTGTGGATGACTATACACGTTTCACGTGAATTTATCTAATGAAAGCAAAATTAGGCACTCGCCTCTTACTCAACACCTTTATTACTTATGTTCATACTCAGTTCAATACAAAAGTTCAATCTCTCAGAATGGATAATGGTCAAGAATTTAATATACCAACCTTCTATCAAGATCATGGTATAATTCATCAAATGTTTTGTGTGGAAATCCCTCAGCAAAATGGCAGAGTTGAAAGAAAACACCAGCACTTATGAAATGTCGCTAGAGCCCTCCTATTTCAATCAAAATTACCCCTATCATACTGGAGCGATTGTGTACTAACTACGACACATCTCATCAATCGCACTCCCTCACCTATATTGAATAACCATACACCATATGCTTTCCTTTTCCAAAAACCACATTCATTCAATTACCTTAAAGTCTTAGCCTGTCTGTGTTTTGTCAGTACTCTTACAAACAATCGAGGAAAATTTCAACCAAGAGCCTCTAAATGTCTCTTCCTTGGTTATCCTCCCAACATCAAAGGATACAAGGTGCTTGATCTCCTAACTCTCAAAACCTTCATCTCCAGAAATGTAGTCTTCCACGAATCCATTTTTCCTTCCATTCCAAACGCTACTCATACACATTTTGTCTTCCCTAAATTTCCCCAGGTAGATGACTTCAAAATACCTGCTACCTCTTCTCCTCACATTTCCCCAACTAACACTACTACTACCACTGATATTCCATATCCTCGAAGATCTGAAAGAGTCGGGCATCCTTCTACATATTTGCAGGATTTTTATTGTGATAATACGACTTAAACACCTTCAGCATCTCATGTATCTTTCAACAGCTATTTTCCTTCTCCTGGTAAGCCCCATTCTATTACTTCATATCTTTCTACTTCTAGATTGTCATCTAAATATAAAACCTTTGTTGCTGCCGTTTCATCTACTTTTGAACCCAAAAATTTCAAGCAAGCTATCTTATACCCTCAATGGAAAGCTACTATGACAGATGAAATTAAAGCTCTTGAATTGAATCATACTTGGGACCTTGCTATTCTTCCTCCACATAAGATTGCAATAGGATGGAAATGGGTTTATTGTGTGAAATTTAAAGCTGATGGTACAATTGAAAGATACAAAGCTCAGTTAGTAGCAAAAGGTTATACTCAGCAAGAAGGACTTGATTTTTTCGATACATTCTCTCCTGTAGCAAAAATGACTACCGTGCGCACTTTACTTTCTATTGCTGCAATTAAACATTGGCATTTACATCAACTTGATGTAAATAATGCTTTTCTTCATAGAGATTTTCATGAAGTATACATGCAGCTGCCACCAGGATATTCTTCACCCAATGATCCTAGAGTTTGCAAACTTAAAAAGAGCTTATATGGTTTAAAGCAGGCTTCCAGGCAATGGTTTTCAAAATTATCCTCCTCTGCGCTTCAATTTGGTTTTACTCAAGGCAAGTCTGATTCATCTTTGTTCATCAGACAAACTTCAAAGAGTTCTATGGCCCTACTGATATATGTTGATGATGTTATCATTGCATTTGATAATCTTGCTGAAATCTACATTGTAAAGAATCATTTGCATGATACTTTCACCATCAAAGACTTAGGTGAACTAAAATATTTTTTGGGACTTGAAGTAGCTCGATCAGCAAAAGGCATTACTTTATGTCAACGCAAATATGCCTTAGATATTCTACAAGACAGTGGTTTTTCTGGTTGTAAACATGTAGCTTTTCCTATGGAATCTACACTAAAGCTAAGTGCAAATGATTCATCTCCCTTTAACCCAATCCTACATCCTATAGAAGGCTTGTTGGTCGTCTCTTTTTCCTAATGATAACTAGGCTTGACTTGGCTTATTCAGGGCAAGCATTAAGTCAATTCATGGCTAATCCTAGGAATACACATCTTCAAGCTGTTGAGAGGGTTCTTAGATATATTAAGGCAACACCAGGTTAAGGCATTTTCCTGTCTGTATCTTCTTCCATATACCTGAAGGCTTACTCGGATAGTGATTGGGGAGGATGCATCGACACTAGAAGAAGTGTTACTGGTTACACAAATTTCCTTGGAGATTCTCTCATATCTTGGAAATCGAAAAAGCAACCAACTGTTAGTCGTTCTTCTGCTGAATCTAAATATAGAGCTCTAGCTTCAACCACTTGTGAGATTCAATGGCTGATTTATCTTCTGGTTGACTTACATATTAATCATCCTCAACTAGCTTTACTTTACACTGACAGCAAACCTGCATCTGATATTGCTTCCAATCCTGTTCATTACGAAAGAACAAAGCACATTCAACTGGACTGCCATCTCATTCGACAAAAATTACAAGAAGGTCTCATCAAAATCATCTACATCCCTTCCAAACATCAGTTGGTTGATATACTAACTAAACCACTTGGTTCTCTCAACTTTCATCATCTCATCCGTAAGATGGGCTTGATAAACATTCATTCTCATCTTGAGGGGGGCGTTGGAATCTACAATCTCATATAGAAGCCTTAGAATTGAAGTCTCAACAAGCAAAAGAAAGAAACCTTAGTCCAAATTCTGTTGCCTCTAAAATCAGTTGACCGTTATGCTAGTTTGAGGTTAGCAGACAGTTAGCATGAGCTGGAATCTGTTGTATGGTTACAATTGTTAGTTAGTTGGTTAGCAGCCATTATGTGTCTATAAAAGCTAAACTTTGTGCATCCATTTTAACGATTCAATTTTTCTGAATAAAACAAATGTTGAATCTCTCTCAAAGTTTCTTCTTGAATTTTTCTGCTCTCTAAATTCCAGATTAGAGAATTTTAAAACCTCAGCCACCTCAAGATTGCACAGGTCTTTCACTTCAAATCTTTTTCATTCTTTTACAATTTTAACACTATAAAATAATCACAAACGATGTCTAATACGTTAGTTTCATATAGTTACTAACATGAAAATAAAAATAAAATAAAAAAGCTCCACAGTACAATTTTACATCTACGACACATGTACGAAAGGCCAAATGCAACATATATCCGCAGAATATTGTCAAGTATTGCACAATTACAATTTACAATGCCATAAATTTGTGAAAGACGCATGATTACAATCTATTAAGAAACATATTTTGGTCTTCATTTACCTCTATTATGCTAAGAAAGGAATTCATTTTTTATTTTCTTGAGTCTTACTACTACCTCTTCCATATTAAGCCTCTCCTCTGGCAAATCAATCGTGCATTCTAGAGCTAGTCCCATGAGTAATTTCAAGTAGCTCTCTCTAGCATTGACGTTTTCTTCTTCTCTGTTCAATACATCCACGTCCACTATCTGCATTACAGCATCTGGAAATGATTCGAATACCCATCTCCTCATTGTTAACTCTCCTACAAATATATCATCTGTGGGTTTCTTCCTTGTGAGTACTTCCATCAACAGAATCCCATAACTATAAACATCCGCCATAGTCGATATTAATCCTGTGGAACCATACTCTACGAAAATGGCACACGTGATCAAATTAACAAAAGAAATGAACAAAAGAATACACATGATAAAAGTATAACATGGTTGTTATACTTCATCATACATAAGGAAGTACTTAAATGAGCAACTATGGCACGTCATTCAGAATTTGCAACTTAAATTGTCTTTAAGCTGTTAAATATGATTTGATTCAGCATTTGAAAGAATACAACAATAAAAAACTTAGTTCTATTATTTGTTTGCTTACTTGTTATCTTTTGAAAGTGTTAACAAGATTGAAAAAGTAAAGCTTCAATATATATCTGCCCGAATTTTATTCATCTTTCATAGGTGACATTGAAAAATTGCATATCATGTGTAGAACAACGGCCACAAATATATGACTATATGAGGCAAGATGGATGCTTATACATTAATGCACTTGTATCATGACATTTAAGTGTACTTGTATGAGTAAAAGTTAACAATATAGTCGAGAGAAATTTTACCCGGTGCCATATATCCTATTGTTCCCAAAGTTTTTGTCTGCGAAATTCTCTGATCTTTTGTAAATAGTTTGGCGATGCTGAAATCTCCTACACGTGCAACCATATTCTCATCTAGAAGTATGTTGCTGGGCTTCAAATCACAGTGGACAATAGGGGAAGGATACCCATGATGTAGGTATTCAAGTGCACATGCCACATTCATCATTATGTCCAGTCTCTGAGCAATATCTAGGCAAGAATCACAAGAGTACAACCATTTGTTGAGGTTTCCATTAGGCATGTATTCTAGGACCAGGGCCTTGATATCAAGGTTACAACAACTGTTAATTACCTTGACCAGGTTTCTGTGACGAATGTTGGACATTATATGACACTCAACATCAAAGCTCTTGTTTGCGTCTTCGATATCCAAATCAAAAACTTTAATAGCAGCTACTATCCCATTGGAAAATATTCCCTTGTAAACTGAACCGACACTGCCTCTATCGATCAGATTGTCTTCGCCAAAGTCATTGGTTGCCTTAACAATTTCATGATATGAAATTCTCTCGTCACCAAAGGTAAAAGGGAAACTAGACTGAGGTGGAAGAGGCGTCTAAACATACCAGTAGAATAATGGCTAGACCTACTACGAAGGCAACTGGTGGTACAATATATTTCAAAAATCTTGTCCAGCTGGATTTATTACCTTTGCATGGAATGACCTTGAATTGAGATGCTCCACATAATTCTCTATTTCCCTTGAAAGAATCTGCTGTCAAGTTCTTGAAACGTCCTCCATTTGGAATTTCACCACTGAGATCATTGAATGAAATATTAAAATACACCAGATTCTGAAGCAATTCGAGTGACTTGGGAATTACACCAGAGAGATTGTTTTGGGATAGATCCAAATATTGCAATGCAGTCAAATTAGCAAATGTCTCAGGAATATGACCATGTAACTTATTTTCTGCCAAATTCAGAAATTCCAAACTTTGAAGTCTCCTCCAAATAGTGCTGGGAATATTTCCTGAGAATTGATTTCCCAATAGATATAATTCTCTCATTCCCGTCACACTGCCAATTTCTAATGGCAAAGTACCAACGAGCAAATTGTAAGACAAGTCCACAATAGCAAGGTCCATGTTAGTCCAAAACGCTGATGGGATAGTGGAAGTGAACCCATTGAAAGATAAGTTAACCATTCGCAAGAATGTGAGGTTTCCTAAACAACCTGGTATCTCTTGAGAGAGCTCATTTTCCTCTAAATTTAGGCGGTACAAATCTGCAAAATTGCAAAAGCTGACAGGTATCGTCCCCTCCAGTTTATTGTAACCAATTACGAGTGACTGCATCTTCTTTAGTTCTCCCAGTGTCTCTGGAATTCTCCCTCTCAAGTTATTGCTTCCCATGTTCAGTAAGATCAAGTTGCTTAAATTACCGATTTCATTGTGAATCGTGCCTTTGAAACCGCAAGAGTTAGCCTCAAATTTTTCAAGGGATGCTGACAAATTGCCTAAGGTAAATGATTTTGGTAGCATTGTATCAAAATAATTGAATCCTATTACTAAGCTCTTCAAGTCCCTACAGCTTCTCAAGGAAGTAAGAAAACCCAATTCCGACAATGAAGGATCATTTGTCAACTGATTACCTGCTAACCCTAGGTATTGGAGGTTTTGTAAATTCCCAAGATTCATGGGTACATGTCCACTAAATGAGTTGTTACCAAGCTCCAACGTAATAAGGTTCGAAATATTTGAAATAGAGCTAGGAATTTCACCACTTAATTGGTTACCAGCCAGAGTAAAAAACTTAAGATTAAGGAGTCCATCAGCTATTGATTGAAGATTGCCAGATATATGATTGTATACTAGACTAAATTGCTGTAACTTGGTGAGGTTGAAGATAGATTCAGGTATTTCACCTTCGAGATTGTTATAGCAAAAATCTAGCAATATTAAATTTGACAGACGTCCCAATTCTGATGGAATGTGACCCTGAATGTTGTTACTCGCAACTCCGAAAAACTCCAAATTTGATAAGTTGCCTATTGAAACTGGGATAGTACCTGCGATGTTTGTTCAGAAATTAAAATGTCATAGATTATTTAATGGAGAAAACAGAGTACAAACAAAGAGATAGCAAGGGAGTGAGGGTACTAAAGTTTATTTATCTACATCTACAATATATAAAAAGGAGGAATTGGAGAGAAACTTTTGATTATCAATTTTACCCTTACATATTTAGCTATTGGCCCAATAACCCTTATTTGGTTTACCATTTTGTCCTTTATTATTATTATTATTAATTTTTTGTCATCTATGTTGTTATTAAATATTCCTAATTTTTCATGCATTAAGCTGATTTTTCAACTTATGCTATTAAATGGGGTTCTCATCTTTTAGCCAGTTGATTTTCAAACGAAACATAATATTATTAATGTTAGTTTGCAATATAATGTTAAATAATATGATTACTTCTATGTAAATATATTTGTTTTTTAGAAACTTATAATATTCTCATCCTTTAGCCAGATGATCTTCAAATAAAATATAATATTATTTATATATAATCCATTATAGTTTATAATATAATATTAAATAAAATGATTACTTCTATATGAATATATTTTTTTTTCAAAAAATAAAAATATGTATTAATGTTTTATATTCATTATTGAATAGAAAAATCATGTAGCCATTAGAAGACTCAAAAGATAGTGGAGAAGAACGCAACGCCGTTGATGATGACCTTTTATTTCTTCCAGATTTTAAATGATTTGCCATTTAGAATACTTAAATTAAATTATAGGTTATAAAGCTACCATTACAATTAATTTTTTTAACAAAATTTAAACCAAACGAGATGGATGATGATGATGATAATTATTATTATTATTATTATTAGATAAATACTACTTCTATTACATTGAAGGGTTGAATATAAGAATTATGATTTCCTCAGCATAATACTCTTTCTAATGCCATAAACAGATAAAGAAATTTGTTAGATAAATACTAATTCTTTTGCACAATACGTAGCTTTCCTTGTTGGCAGATTATAAATTTCAAATTTTGTCTAAAACTAATTGTAAAGAAAAGAAAGAAAACAAATGGAGAAGGTTAGGAAGAGATTTGAAGGGAAGGTGGATATCTTCACAACTTTGACTCAGGGGCATCGGCTTGGAAGATGGTGCCTCTATTTTTATCTCCTCACATAGAAAAGTATAAAATTGAGACCCAAAAATCTTTTGCATTCTCTAAAAGCATTTTGAGTTCGATTGTCAACTCTCTAAAAAATCTCATTAGCCTCTTAGTAGGATTAAAGGTGCAGTATTTTCTCTTCGTATTATTGTCAATTTTCCAAGTTTTTTTTTCATTTTAATAATTTTGAGATGTAACCGAATGACTAGACACACAAAAAATTTATTTAATGCTTTTTTTTTTTTACACATGAGTTGATTTGATTAATTGTTGTACTATATTGTTAGATAATTATTTACTGATGTACTTGGTAAGGCAATTTTTCTACAAATATTTATCATGAAAGATGTCAATTTTCCATTCAAATTTTTACTTTTGTACTGTTTGATTGAAATATATTTCCATACTTGGATTAGATTATAAATATTACTTTGATTTAAAACTTTTTTCTTAAAATAATTTCTCAATGAAATCTATCAACATAGGAGGTTAATCAAGAGATGTTCCTATGTATGGTGGCCATCTTTTTTTTTTCTTTTTCTTTTTCTTCCTTTTTATTGGGTATTAATACTATATAATAATTTTTATTTTTCATTTAACAATATCAATTACCTCACTATTTTCAAAAACATTATTATTACTTCAAAAACATTACTTATAAGGTTCATCAAATAAGGTGTGCAACGCACTTGTTTTGTAGTAGTGTGAAGTAAAGTTTGAAACATACCCGTCAAATTATTTTTTTCTAGATGGAGAATTTGAAGCTGTGGCAAGTTCCCGATCTCCATTGGAATACTTCCACTGAAATTATTCTTTGCCAACGAAAGTAGCTTAAGCTTGGTGCATCTTCCCAAATTCGGAGGAATAATGCCACCTATTTGATTCAGTGGAATCCATAGCGTCTCTAACTTTGGAAGATTATTGCAGATATCCATCGGAAGACTTCCAGATAGGCTGTTGATTCCTAACTGAATTTCTACCAAAGAAGAGAGGTTGAACACCAAGATTGGGATTCCTCCAGTGAAAGAGTTTCCAAAGAGATATAACTTTTGAAGATTTTTAAGAAATCCGAAACTACTAGGAATTTGACCATTTAACTCATTGTACTGCATCTTTATTTCTCGGAGTCTCGAAATATTACCAATTTCATCAGGGATGAAATCATGGAAACTGTTATTGCTGATATCCAAGGATTTCAGAAAAGTGAGTTTACCAATTTCTTTAGCAATAGTCCCTTCTAGGCTCATATTTGAAACATTTATGCCTGTGACTCTTTGGTGCCTATGACCGCAAGTAATGCCGATCCAAGAACAAAAGGAAATTTCTTGAGACCAAGACAAGATTTTGTTGGGATCATTTATTTGAGATTTAAAGGCAAGAAGGGCAGACTCATCATTGGAGCTACTGAAAGATGTAGCGACACAAAGAAGCATGTAGAACCTTGCCAGTAACGTAAAGATCAAATTCTTTCCCATGGTCAATTTGATATTTATCACTATGAGATGGAAAAAAAATTTCTGGCGATGTAAGTATAAGTTGCAGAACTTATATAGTAGAGATGCTTGTTGCTTTATCTTAAAGGAGTGGAGTTCATCACTCCAATATTGACTCGGCTTGACTTTACAAGTCTTTGATTTTAATATTCTTCGGCCTTAACTGTCAAATGTTAATTATTTTTTCGGCGTTTAGTGTGCATGACAATTCCAAACTAGATATTTAGTTTTCGGGGTGTTCATGCACATGGTTAGACCTTAGAATCGTTAGACATTAGTTCAGATATTAATAGTGAACCTACCAAGTATTTAACTAAGTGCATGACAACACAAAATATATATAATTTCATTTTCATTCTTGATCCTATGATTCTAAGTAGGCTTATTGTTTTGAAATTTAGTTCGATTGCTTCCTAAGTTGCACTTTATTTAGTGATTTAAGTACTTTAACTGGGTTTTATTATTGTTGAATAATGGAGCCTAAGTTGTAGATTTCAAAATCGTGAAAGTGTGTGGACCAAGAAATTTATTGCAAATACCTAAATAGTAGGCATGAATGTCGAGAATTAGATTCTTGTATCTCGTTCTTGCATCAATTTCTGTTATTCTTGGTTAAATTCTTTTCTTGAATCCCACTTATCTGCTGGATTTAACAGTATCTAATTCTTAACAAGTATTACATACAAAACATATTCCAAGATAAAAATAGAACTTATTTTCTAATTATTTATTAGCATTTTAATCTTGTTATAAATCTGTTAATAATCCAAAAGAAATCCAAATAGGCTCTTAATTAATTCTAAAGAAACATAAATTCTTTGTGCGTGTGATATCTATTTTCACCATTAATCATATCCCAAATTCGAAGAGTCTATTTAATCCTCCTAATCTTCATAACGTCGTTCATGAACATAAAATCGACTTGATAAATAATGCAGTCGTGCTACACAAATATCAAGGTTAACATAATATCACGTGACATTTTATCATGATCTAAAAAAGGATTATTCTACTTTAACAAATGAATTTTGACATCCTCCTTGATAGATGTATATGTAGCGGTGAATGATCGATTGAAAAAAATAAATGTATTTAAAACAATCAAGTGACATAATGCCATATTATGTCAACTTCTGTGTCAATGTAGCATGACGGTCTAAAAAAATCATCTTAATAGTTCAAAAACGTGTATCTACTTTTATGTGGTCTATGTGAATGCCCTGATTCGCAAAACAAGGAGAAAACAAACTAGTCAAATACAAGACAATTCGTAGTGAATAAGGTTCAAAGAAGGAATCTTTTGCTATTTAAACTTTTGTTTTAATTTGTTCTTTTTCCCTTTAAATAGAAAATTTATTGTTGAAAAATATTATTGAGTTGTAATATTTTAACAAAAAGAAAAAAAAAATTCTTCAAACTAATATACAATTTTATTATCTAAATTAAAATTCAGGAAAATGGGGGAAAAAAGATTGTTTTAAAAATGCCTTTAAACTTGTAAAAGGGAAATTATGTTAAAATAAATTTCATGAAGTTCTAATTTTTGAAACTGGAGAGACTATCGATTTGTCATATATCTAAAAGAAAGTTTATGAAACTTATATGATGACTACTGAAAACGATGTTACATTTATGGAGAGTAATAATTATTTAATAAAAAAAAAAAAAACCCACTTAGGGCTTGTGAGTAAACTCGGTTCGACCCTTGTGAGCAAACATGGTCAAGAGCTCAGCTCGGCCATGACATTCCTATGGTTGATTCTTCTCGAATGGGAAGCAGCAAGAGGGATGAACTCTCTAGAAAGACTTGGCCCACTAGCAGTTGGGCTAATAACAACTCCATCCATATTAACCCAAAAAATTAAACTACCGTTTATTTTATATAAAATATTTTCTAAAAAAAAAAATTATAAAATGAGGTTATAGGGGATTGCTTACAATGTCTCTAGCTGTGTAGGCTAGTTTTGAGGTTATAGGGTTTGATTTTTGACCAGCGGGTTGGAGGGAAGATTGGCGTTGAATTAATCTATTTGTACATTGGTTTTAGACATCAAGCTTGACGTAAGAAATTTAACCATTGATTTGAATGAGTGTTGTTAAAATTAATGATCATTATACTTGTCACATCAAATGTACATGTATTAAAATTATTTGGCACCACCATCTCCAGCACCTTCCAAGTCGACGCCAGCGCCACCCCAAGTGGTTACATTTATCAACACCCATTATCTCTTTCCCTCCATTCTGATTGGTTTGTATTGTACTCGATTCTCTTAATTAGGGTAAATATTTTGTGTCAATATAATCCAATTCGAGTCAAGGGAGTAATTTTATTTTTCAAACGAAAAATATTTTCGAGGGAGTATAATATAATAAAAATTTCAATTTCACACATATTTTCTTAATTTAAGGATCATTAAAAACCTAATAAAAATTAAGTTGTTGAAACTCCTTATTTATGATACTAATTAAGTTTCTCTTGATCCATTTTCAAAACCCTTTAAAATCTCCTTATGTGCTGACCAACAACCTCCTTTCTTCCCTAATACAACCTGTCTCGTAACCCCCCAGCCCCCACCGCCCCCCACAAAACAACATTGATATATATCCTCTAAATACCCAACAAAATCAATTCATGCATGCTCAATAATATTGAAAAAAAGACTCGTAAAACAAAAAACACAAGAGATTAAATTTCAATGGATGTTCACGTAGAAGATGGAAAAAGAAATGGTGATGCATCTATTGAAGAACAATTGGAATCGCCTCTCCTTGAGGCTGCACCAACACCTCCAAAACCACCCAAAACCCGGGCGCAAACGGGCATCCGTAAAGCCTTCAAGGGAACAGCCCATTTGTCGAATCTTCTCCCCACAGGCTCCGTCCTGACATTCCAATTCTTGTCCCCAGTTGTTACGCACGAAGGAAAATGCAAATCCTTCGTTAGCCAATCCGTTACATCATGTGTTCTTGCTCTTTGCGCCGTTTCTTGTTTTCTCTTTAGCTTTACCGACAGTTTCAGGGACGAAAGAGGAAAGGTCAGGTACGGATTGGCCACATTCCGTGGCCTGTGGGTGATTGATGGATCAAAAACATTTCCACCACAAGATGCTGACAAATATAGGATAACGTTCATAGATTTTGTCCATGCATTCATGTCGATTCTTGTTTTCGGGGCAGTGGCAATGTTTGATAAGAATGTGATCAATTGTTTCTATCCATCGCCATCAGAAGAAGGCCTCGAGATTCTTACAGCATTGCCTATAACCATTGGGGTAATTTGCAGCATTTTGTTCATTGTTTTCCCTTCCAAACGGCACGGAGTTGGCTTCCCTCTCTCGCGCAACTAGCATGCAATATTCATGTATTTGCTTGTTTTATCTTTCTTTATAATTCTTCGTCCATAATTATTTTATTGCCATATTCTTTTGGGCACAATTCCCCATCAATCTTGGAATATGAATGCTCGTCAAACTTTTAAACATATCAAATCTCTCGATCGATATTTCTATCATTTGTCGACATGGATTCAACCCTTAACAAGGATCATTCATTTGATGCATAGCAACAAGAAGTTACCTGAATATTGGCAATACAAAGGGGGTTTTACATGGGTTTTCTGCATGCTGATTTATTGTTATTATGGTACAGGGAACACAATTAAAAGCATTAATTATTCATAATATTGTCCGTTAAAATCAAATTTGGTCTAAGTTACACATGCAAGATATGTAATTGACAATATTCATCCACTTTACCCAGCCTGATGTATGTATAAACGTCTTCATATAATTACCTGCAATTCTACAAATATAACATCAAAAAAAAAAATAAATGGGTGAGCATTGGCTAATCTTTTCATTCCTTTGGCTTCTGGGTTTGATAAGGGGTGGGCAAAAGAATCATAACCAACTGAACTAGAATCGGTCGGTTCAGCTTATATTTTAAAAAGTTCTTGTTTCAGAATCAAGAAATGGTTGATTTTAATTCGATTTGGGTTTGAGTAGTATCGAGAACAGGTTTTAATCTATTTCTTAATTTGGTGAATGTTATTTATTGTACAAAATTTTGTATGAAGATCGAACTTATCTTTGCATTGAATTGGTCTTATTTTTCCTTTTAGATGTGATTATTAATTTGTGGCGGTTAGAATTTGTACTGTAGTTTGAATTGATGAAAACATTGGAGTTGTCTTTTATATTAAATTTTACTTTTAACGCCAATCTGGAAGAAATTCATTCATTGATGAACAATGTAGCATGAATTTACAAGGATTAATTAAAGATTTTAAATGCTCGAAATAAAAATTTGATCAATTTAAGTACATAGGATTGGCCTAAAATTCTAGGTCACAGGTCAGGTTCCTTTTGGTAGAAATTACACCACGTACACAGTTTTCATAAATTATTCATTTTATACTACTACCATTTTTATTTTTATTTTTTTACCAAAAATGCAACACTTAATGCCGTAAAAGTAAATAGTAAGAATTGTCCCTGTCATTAATTTCACGATTTGAGGCCATCAATTAATCCCCCAAACATGCCCCACTTGTATATATCCCTATTATATTTTTCAAAATTAGTCCTCAAATAAATGGCTTTCTCTTTGAAAACAAAATCAAGAATCCCCCAACATTCGAAAGTTTCACGAATACACCACAATCATCTCTAAATTCAAATGAACTGAACCTTGTTTTACATCATATATTTTGTGAATAATCGATTTATTCACTAATGTGATTTCTCAAATCCCTGATTTTCATACCCTTGTTTACAAATCCCTAAAACCTATGTTGAAATACATAATTTAAATATGAAAATAAGCAAATTCGACCTTCATCTTGTATAATCTTAGGAATCTATTAAAGGATCCAAGATTCATTCTATAGGAATCCGCCGATTTGAAGCTTTTCATTGCTTATATAAACCCTAATAGTTCATACTAGTATTTCCACAAACCCACGGCCGTGAGAGATCTTTGTTCATATATCTGTAATCCATTGATATCGGAAGATATCATCACCAAATCATAGCTCAACATTGGGTTCAAGCAAGAACAAACTACCAATTGAAGGTGC